TATGTATATATTTTTTAGTAATGAAAAATGAAGTTTCGAATTTAAAATATCTTTTAATATATGAAGAGAATATGAAGGTAAAAATGTCCCACGTTGGAAAGTTAGAAAATCTTTCAAGAGCTTATAAGAAGTTAGGCTATTCTCCTATTGTCATGTGGAACATCAACTTCTTTTATGGTATCAGAGCGGGTTTGCCCACGTGTGAAAATCCAACGGCTATACATACTCCACGTCACCTAATATATGTTGTCTACGTGTTAGGCTTGAAAATCCCAATTTCCAATTGAAAACTCAAATATTATAGATTCAAAGCTTAGATGGGGACAAAGACAAAAAAAATCTAAGAATTTTCCTCGTTGCCAATTGAAAATTATTATAATTAAAAATATTAAATAGTTTCCTTATATATATTCATAGTGAACTTGAATTCATATGTGATTTAAGAAAGGGTGAGTTAGAACTCTATAAAGAAAGTGAGTTACACGCTCCATAAATGTGGGTAGACTCAAAACATTCTTTTATTATTTTCTTGGCTTGTGTTTTGGGTGTGGGGTGATTGATGTAATTAAAAATAATTTGATTTGGTCCCCAAATAATGCGGTGGGACCAGGGTGCCGTGGGCCTCTGATTGAGCGTTCGATTATCCCCTTTGTCCTTTCTGGGCCATTAATCACTTCCTTTTCCTTCATTTGGGGCATGTGATTCTTGATGCCATCACCGCAAGGTTTAAAGACCTCACATTTTACGGCCTTATCGTGCCACGTGTAACGTACGCATGTCATCATCCATGCAACTGGAGCGTTTCAGGTCCACTTGTAATTAGAAGAATAGTTTAATTCAATAGAGTTGACCCAAAAAAATGTTTAATTCAATATATTTTTTGGGGACAACTAATTCAATTAGATTGTTCATAGAAAAAGTGAAGCAAATTCCTTCCTTTATGCTCAAGTCAAGTATTAAAAAAGTAAATTGCAGAAGAAGGATTTCAACTTTTTTGTCAACCCGCTCTCTATGGTGCACTTTCGTCCTATTAGTCTCTGCTGCACTCTCTACAAGATTATCTCTAAAGTGATTGTCACTAGATTGCGGCCTATTCTGCCTAAGCTTATCAGTCCTCACCAAGTGAGTTTTGTCCCTGGGCGGCACATCACAGACAATATCTTGATAGCTCAAGAGCTTATGTTCAAATTCAGAAGTTCTAAAGGTAAGAAGGGTTTTATAGCATGGAAGATTGATCTCTCTAAAGCTTATGACAGACTTAATTGGAACTTTATCAGGACTGTCCTTAATGAGCTGGGTTTACCTGAAAGTTTGATCCAATTAATTATGCAGTGTGTCTCCTCTGTCACTTACCAGATCTGTGTGAATGGGGAACTCACTGAGTCCTTCACTCCAAGCAAGGGTATTAGACAAGGTGATCCCTTATCCTCTTATCTCTTCGTGCTTTGTATTGAAAAACTCTCGCATATCATTGTTGATGCTGTTGGGAAGCGTAAATGGAAGCCCGTAAAAACTTCACAATCTGGTCCTACTGTGTCCCACTTATTCTTTGCTGATGACTTGATTCTTTTCGCGGAAGCTAGCCCCTACCAAGCTAAATTAATGAAACAGTGTCTGGAGCTCTTCTGTAAAGTCTCTGGCCAAATCATCAACTTTGAGAAGTCTGCTATTTATTGTTCCCCCAACACTTGCAAGGATATGGCAGCTGATATTAGTCGCATCTGTGGCTCTCCTCTCACCAATAACCTAGGTAATTACTTGGGCATGCCTCTTCTTCATTCTAAAATCACAAAGACTACTTATAGCAAGCTGGTGGATAAAGTTCATGCTAGGCTTGCCTCTTGGAAGAGCAAAGTTCTTTCCATTGCAGGTCGTGCAACTCTGATCCAGGCTGTCACTTCGGCTATTCCTGTCTATGCGATGCAAACTGCTAAAATCCAGATGAGCATTTGTGAGAATTTAGACAGATTAAATCGTAATTTCCTTTGGGGTGGGAGTGATAAGAAGCTGAAAATTCACCTCTGCCAATGGGATCTTGTGTGTAGGCCTAAGAGTAAAGGTGGGCTTGGTCTCAAAAAAACCCATCATATGAATCAAGCCCTTCTAGCTAAGGTTGCTTGGAGACTTTCAAGGAAGGATGATGGTTTGTGGGCTCAGATTTTTGAGAAGAAATACCTCAGGGGTCACTCCTTTTGTGAACCTAATCTGACTCCCAGGCAAAAGTGCTCTCCTACCTGGAAGGGGATTATGTTTGGTGCTCAGATGCTTCATAAAGGTTTAGTCTGGAGGCTAGGTAAAGGGGATAAGGTTAATTTTTGGAAGGATAAGTGGCTGGATATTGTGCCCCTCATGAACCAGGTTGATATTACCCCAGATATGGATTTGAATTGTATGGTTTCTGATTTCTTTGCTAATGGTTGGTGGGATGTGGAAAAGCTTAGAGGTGTGCTCCCGGAGGAGTGGGTTCAGAAAGTTATTGGTTGCCCAGCTGATTTTGGAGGTCACTTGGAGGACTGCCAAATTTGGCATCCTACCTCTAATGGTACGTTTTCTGTTAAGTCTGCGTATAATATGATGTTCAAAAGGGCTGACTGGTCGACCCATTGGTGGGAAGTGATTTGGAAACTTAAAATCCCTCCCAAGCTTCAAATCTTCTTTTGGCTAACCTTTCAGGAAAAAAATTTGACTAATGAGCAACGGGCTCGCAGGCATCTTATTACTGAACCTTTATGTAACATCTGTAATTGGCCTACTGAAACTATTCTGCATTTACTGCGTGACTGCTCAAGAGCTAAAAGAGTTTGGAAGCTGTTCGTGAACACCAGTCATACTAATCCCTTCTTCCAAGCTGAGCTGCACCCTTGGCTCTTGAACAACCTCTGCTCCAAAAACCATTTTGCCCAGATCCCTTGGAGACTGCTGTTTGTCTTCATTTGCTGGTACACTTGGAAGTGGAGGAATGATTTTATCTTTAACAATGCAGCAGACTTGCCTTTCAATGCTCGTGAGTTGATCATTACTGCGGCTAGAGATTGGGTTAAGGCTACAACTAATTCCCTTCCTGGAGCTGGCAGAGTTCAAATTATGCTAGCTTGGATTCCCCCAGATATTGGGGTTCTCAAGCTAAACGTGGATGGTTCACGTAAAGGCAACACCGGTGGCATTGGTGCTGGTGGCGTCATCAGAGATCATGCTGGTCACTGGGTTGCTGGCTACTCTGCAAATTTGGGGCAAGGGCAAATCCTTGAAGCTGAGTTATGGGGCTTATTCTTTGGTTTGAAATTAGCTGTTGAAAAACATTTAACTGATGTTATTGTTGAGATGGACTCAGCTACTGCTGTGATGCTTATGCACAAGACTGAGATCGACAGTTGCCATCCTACTGGGGGTTTGGTTAGAAACTGCAAGGGACTAATGAATCAAATTGGAAGGATTAGGCTGAATCATATTTATAGGGAGAGGAACTCCGTCGCTGATCGTCTGGCTGCTTGGAGTCACAATATGGATCTTGGTTTCTGGTTTTTTGACGACAGTCCTGTTTGGCTGGGTCCTCTGTTGCTTGATGACGCCGCAGGGGCTTCTACAGCCCGCTTGATTTCTGTTCTGTAGTTTTTGTCTTTTGGGGTTTTCACCCCCCTGTTTTCATAAAAAAAAAAAAAGTATTAAAAAAGTAAATTGCATAAGGATTTCAACCTTTTTGTTTTTTTGACGCTAAAGGGCCTAATGTCCAAAAGAATAACAAATCCAGCCCAAAGCTAAAAGCCTAATGAAAAAAACCTTGACTTGCATACTAGTAGTCTCAAGTTTGAAATCCCATATCATATTAGTCGTGTGTGTGTGAGAAACCTCTCTTATAGTTTAGACTACCGCTTTATCTTCAACGCTGAAAATAGGTGAACATATCATAAAAGAGAAAAGTAATTCTTTCTCATATTTAAGTTTAAATAAAGTATTTTAACTAGCATAAACTTATGGTCAGTTTGGCATTACTGTGCATGAAAATAATCGATGTGAGAGAAATTAGTGATGAGAGAAAGCATTTGGCGTTTGGTAAACTTTTTGTTAAAAGTGTTGTTGGTACTGATGACTTCATAATTAAAAAAAAAAAAATGATTCATGCATAATCATTAAACTCAGCGCTTCTTCAAAATTGATTCCTGCATAATCATTAAACTCAGCGCTTCTTCAAAATTGATTACTGCATAATCAAAAAATGAAAACACCTCATTAGCTGTTCTCTCTTATAACTTTCTCTTACAACAATTTTCAACAATAAATGATTTTCTCATAGACTCATAATTTACCAATCAGGTTGAGTTTCTCAAAAAAATTTAAAAATCATTTATCACCCCAAATAAGCAATGCCAAATGGGCACTTAGTAAGGTAATTTCTATTTGTGAAAAGCCCAAAATTTAATTTTTGGAATTTAAGAATTTTTTTTTAATGATACATTTTAACAAGTAACGAATATTCTATTCAACAATTTTTTTATTGATACATTTTAACTTAGTGCCCGTTTGGTATTGCTTATTTGGGATAATAAGTGATTTTAAAAAAAATTTGGAAAGCCCAATCCTTTTGGTAAACTATGAGAAAATCACTTATTGTTAAAAATTGCTGTGAGAGAAAGCTATTTGGGAAAGCAGCTAATAAGGTGCTTTCATTTTCTGATTATACAGGAATCAGTTTCAAAGAGGCGCTGGATTTAATGATTATGCAACAATTATTTTTTGATTATACGGGAATCCATACCAACAACACTTCTAACAAAAAGTTTACCAAATGCCAAACAATGTTCTCTCACAGCTGATTTCTCTCACAGTAAATTTGACAGCGATTATTTTCACAGAAAAGCAATGCCAAACTGGCCTAAGAGGAAAAATATTATATACATATATTTTGATAGATGGACATGGATAACTAAAGAGAAGAAAGTTTTTTTTTTCCCTTTAAAGAAAAAAAGCGGAGCAAGTTAAAAATATTAAAAAAGAAAAGAAGTAAACCCTCACCTAAACCCCTAACCCCAAAATTGACAACAACGAAAAAACCCTAACCCCAAACCCAAATTAACCGAAAAGTCCAGTTTTTGCCCTTCCCCTTCTTCTTCTTCGGCTACCAATTTTCACATAGCTAGCAGTTTTGGAGCTGTTTCGTCTATCGAAAGAATCAATTTTGTGATTTTAACAGTGGAAGACAATGGAGATAGATAGACTCGATGGTCGTACACCGAACCAGTTGAGGCCATTGGCTTGTTCTCGCAACGTCCTCAACCGTGCTCATGGCTCCGCCAGCTGGTGTCAAGGTTTCTACTTCATTACCCCTTGTATCACTCTGGGCATTGTGCTCTGTATTTTAGTTTTTCTTCGATGGGTTGGTGTTCTTTTGGATTATATTGACACTGCATTTCTGTATTTGTTCAAATGTGTAATTGGGTTTGAATTGTAATTGCTATACCTCCGTTTTCATTTTCATTTTGCGTTAAGTAATCACATTTTCTCATGTGGGTATCGTTATATATAGTTATTTATGTTTAGATTTGTTTTGTTCGTTTTTATAGGAGATACCAAAGTTCTCGTTGCGGTTTATGGACCTAAAGCGGGAACAAAGAAGAATGAAAACCCTGAAAAAGCTTGCATTGAGATTATTTGGAAGCCAAAAACAGGCCAGAGTGGTGGGTTTTTGCAAATATATTTATGCTTGCTTCTTCCTCTCTCGCTCTCTCAATGTTTTATGTCAATTCTAAGAACAAAAGCTAAGCGGATTGTTTGACGCCATATGGTTCAGAGACTGTATGCTCTGTTTGTAGAGTGACACGAATTCTGCTAGTTCCGTCTAAATTGAAACAGATGTCTGCTTGATATAGGAAAACTGGAAAGGGAATATGAGATGATACTAAAGAGGACATTGCAAAGCATCTGCATACTGACTCTCAATCCAAATACCACAACCTCAGTTATTATTCAGGTGAGGTGGTTTTACTTATTTGAAAAACTTTATGTCTGAGTTTAGGCATTGTGTAGGCCGCTTAAAATGACTGTAATGCATTACATGTAGCCTTGATGCCTTTTACGATACATACATGTAGTATAGGATCACTTTAAGGATATGTTCGTTTTTGAAGTTTATGAGTTTTAGAGGGCTAACGGTGATATGTAAATTGTGAATATGTTATATAGGTAGGTCAAAGTTGCCAAGAAGTGTTAACTTTATTTCGGCTTTTTAAGCCTGTGCATGGAAATGCCTTTGCTACATAGGTAGGTAAAATTTCATGAATATTAAGCACTGTGATTTGGAAAGTGATGAAGGATGGAAATTAGGTAATTGAATGTATGTTACCTGGTAGGCAAGATGAGTATAGTTTGTGTTGAATCCGTTTTCTAAATGCTGATTTTGTTTAAAGTTATGTCCATCTAGTAATATAAGCTCCCATGTCTTGTATATCTTAATGTATGTAAATTTACTTTTTTATATACTTGGTAACTAAGTCGCCAAATGCTTTCTTCAGTTTTCTTCCTTTATAAATAAATAAACTAGTTTACAACTTTGGCCAAGTAATCATCCTTACCTAAAGAACCTTATGTTTCTGCGGCAGGTTGTCAATGATGATGGTGCTGTATCCTTCAAGGTTATGCATTTTACACATTGGAATTTTAGCAGTTTTAATAGGTTTATTGAAGCTCCGTTCTGACATTCATTGAACTTCCGTATTGCAAGTTTATTCTTTGATTGTGTTTGTTTGTTCACCGAAAAAAAAAACTTGTCTGTCTGTGATCCTATATAGATGACATTAAGACAGCCTCTGGCGTTTAAAAAAGTTTACTGACAAAACTGGGCTAGTGTTTTATTTCAAAGCTCAGGATTCTCAATTCCTCTGGCATAAGGGTTTTTAAGATGCCCCATCTTGTCTGTCTGTGATCCTATATAGATGACATTAAGACAGCCTCTGGCGTTTAAAAAAGTTAACTGACAAAACTGGGCTAGTGTTTTATTTCAAAGCTCAGGATTCTCAATTCCTCTGGCATAAGGGTTTTTAAGATGCCCCATGGATTACATTCATTTCCTTTAGATTCACATGGCATATTTGTTAAGTAAAGTTCCAAACTGCACACGCAATCAGTATTCTTTCTGTGTTGAATTATCACCTTGAGAATATAAAGATTTTGCTCGATTTTGGCACATATAAAAAAAAATATATTATTACATGTTGATATATGTAGAAGTACCTTGACAACTACTTCTATAGCTTCTGCCATGTGCCATAAATGCCGCATGTGCTGCCCTTGTTGATGCCGGGATTCCTCTAAAGCATCTTGCTGGTAAATGCGACCTATGTTTTAGTCTTATTTTCTTCATTTGATGAATGAATGTTGACTTTATTATGCTGGTGTTTGCAGTTGCCATTTGTTGTTGCCTCGCAGAGAGTGGATACGTCATATTGGACCCTAGCAAGCTGGAAGAGCAGGTTTTACTTTGTTTCTTATAATTTATTTTACGCTGACAAACATCCAATTGCAGTTCAATTATAATAAAAAACCAAGCCAAGACCGAGTTGCATTATTGGACGATTCATAAATCTCCATCCTTAAGATGTTTGAATTTGTAACGACAGAAAATGAAGGCGTTTGCATATTTGGTCTTTCCAAACTCAGTTCTTTCAATCCTTCCAGAAGAACAATTACAGGTTGGAGGTGAACCCATGGAGCATGGGATCATCACCTCTGTTACCCAGGGTGCAATGTCAGGTATTCCCCACTCTTCATTTATCCTTTTCTATCCGTTGATATTGGACATTTCCTAGTTTGATCCTTTGGAGGCATATTGGGCATTAAGGCTATGCAATGTGTGATCATGTAAATGTTTGTTTTGGAGAGACCTTATGCAATAGGTTTGTTTGTAACAGTTCTGATACTTGATCTAATTTGGGTCTTGTCTATATTACTCTAGTGGACGACTATCTTCACTGTTTAGAACGAGGGCGTGCTGCCACTGCAAAGATGTCTGCTTTTCTCAGGAAGAGCTTGCAACCACAGCTTCCAATCGATTCGTCTAAAGCCGGGTGATTTCACTTGTTACTGACAGTAACCAGCCTCTATAGCTAGATTTGAGAGCTATACATGATGATCATGGAAACCCTATATGGAAGACTTCTTGTAATATCTTATAAAATGAGAACCCCACTAAATTTAGTAGCCTGGTTGACAAGATTTTTGGTTATAATCTCCTACAATTGTATTAGAAGAACCTCCAGACAATGTAATACAGTAATTTTCAATGTAGTCCCGATTGTTGGTAAATTATATTCCCCCTTTTGTTCTCGTTAGTTTTGAGTTAAGATTATAAAAAATTGACTCTGAACAAAAGGCCGCTGGATAAGTAAGTTAAACAGAGCTCATACAGCGGCAATTACTTTGTGAAAAGCAGTAAAGCAGAACAGAAGGCCGCTGGATAAGTAAGTTTGTACGGCATTTACATGGCTTTGTGTTGCCACTTCTGGATAATTGTCTGAGACAGAAATGAACCCACCAAATATGCTTTATTTGTACAGCATATTCCAAGCTTTTCAACCACTAATCCAGAAGCATTTGACAAGGAAAGATGCCTTGGACATCAATCGGATCTTCATCTTTTCACATATTTTACTTAATATAATGCTAACATAGAGCTTAATCTCCAATAATCCTTACAATATTATGCGTGGAAGCTGATTAAGATTGGTGTGCTGTTGATTAAGACTGGTGTTGTTTTGTAGCTTCTGCTAAGCCCTTAGGTTCTAACACCTTCCAGTAGTAAAATAATGGATGCAAGTACGTAGCCTTATGTCACAAGTTGTATTATTTATATTCGTTGACAAAATGGTCTGAATAAAAGTGCCGTATCTTTCAAACAGAGCTCACACAAATTGCTTGTGGAAATATTTTTTTTTATAATTTGGACAGTAGTCCAGAGAGGGGGGACACCGAAAACATTGGACACTCCAGTCATGGCCACAGAAGGCCAGAGAGAAAGCGGAAAAAGCACCGCGAGCCAGGAAAAAATCCGGCAAAGAGACACTAACAGCCTAAGGCCAAACGCCAAAGCACTCAAACTACAAATACAACAAAACAACTTTAAACTCTCACAAGTAAAAAAACCAGCAGAGACTGCAACAAGCAACATACTCAAGCGAGTAGAGGCACTAAAAACAACAAGAAAACTGCAAAGAAAAAGATCCGCACAGCAAGCTCTTGAACTCCAGGAAAAGCAGAGAGAACCCAAAACGACCAGGCCGATGGGCAGCCCCCGGGGGCGAGAAGATCAGAGTAGATCTAAACAGGAGCACCAAAATCAGAGCCAACACCGATCAGACCGCCGATGGAGCAAACAGAAAACCGCAAACCCACCAAGATCAGCCACACGAGCTGTAGTAAGGAGGGCAAGGGGAGATCTGGGCCAAAACGAAAAAAGAAAGCAAAGCAAAGCAAAGGAAAGTGCGTGAGAACAGGAAAAAAACCCCAAACGGGGGGGAGAGACGAAAGAGGGGAGGGTTGCGAGGAAAGGAGAGGGGTAAGAAACGGAACGGGTTAGAAGATGGCCACCAACCCCCAAAGGGGGCGGCGGCTGAGCTTTTCAGAGAGAGAGTTTTTCTTTTAGCTAGGGTTTTTGATTAGTATTCTAAATTAGAGGTGTTCGTCGGTTCGAAATTAATAAATTTAATAAATTTGCATCTTATCCAATGTAGATTGAATTATAAATATTCCAATCTATCAGTTCTTTATATTTCGGTCTCATTGCAAACATTATTTATTTATTATTAGTGGGTAAGTTGATTACAATAATAAGTGATGTCTCTCTCTCGTACTATATTCTTCATGTAAACGATTCCCAAACCGAATACAGACGAAAATGGAAAGACTTTTTGTATCAGAAACTGACGCCTACCAACTTATTGTGATACCTTTTCGTAGGCAGTCTAGTTGGTTTTTGTCCTTTTGCGTCGGTCGTCAAATTGCCCTTGTGATAATCTCACAAAGCCTAATGCATCTACAACTGAAAGTTGTCCGTCTTAAATTCATCTTTTATTTCAAGACAAGCGTTATTAACTTACTACAAATTTAACTATGTACATGTACATATATAGTGCGGAAGCTCAACCAATATTTGTAAAACTGCGAGTGAAAGACAACGGAGCAAACAACAGCCAACAAGAACACCAAAATGTATATTAATTCGATTTTATAAGTTTAGGTCTAGTTTAAAGACAACGGAGTAATTCACTATAACTAAATAGAGCATACACGTGTCTATCACTTAAAAAACCCAAGCTCACACACTCAACTACAAGAAAAACAAAGAGAGACAACTCTCTGTCTCAATTACAACGTAGTTGTACAACACACCGAGAAAGCCAAAACATAATGATGCGCGCTCAAATATCCAATTTATGTATCCAATGCACTTGTTGTCGGTTAGCACAGGGCCCCACAATGGATTGTTTAATCTTGAGCCAATATATATATACACAAATGAAGGATTAGCGCATTTGATGCAAGATGCAACAATTAATGGCAGTCCCCTCTTGTGCTTTGCAAGTAAATGGATCTTTTCAGACCCATTTCATCTCTGAGAGTTTTAATCACCTGAAAACCTCACTTTCCTCAGCTGCTAAGGTATTTCATTCATCCATTTTTGTTTCACACAGAAGCTATGATTTGTTTGTCATTAGTTGCCCACTTTCACTTTGTAACCTTTTCTGAACTTGATTTGACATGTTTTGATGATAGCCTCTATTCAGAGAATTGCAGCAACTTCCAATCAAGAAGGTGAATAATGTCTCTGAAACCATGAAAAACACTTCGGGGAAAATGTTAGATGCACTTGTCAACTCCATGTTCAAATTTGTGGATCAACCATTGCTCCCTTCACAGGTACTTTCCAGTTTCAGCAATGTCTTACTCAAACTTAGCTCTACCAGATATGCATACTTTAATTTGTTCTAGTTAAAATCTTTTGTTATATATGTATAAGCTTAATTGCATCCTCTGCTTACAGAAAAACTTTGCTCCAGTTGAAGAGATTGGCAGCCTTGTTGAGATCAAATGCACTGAAGGAGAAATCCCCCCTGATTTTGCTGAGGGTGTTTACATAAGAAACGGTATATATTATGTGTGACTTCCTAGTCCCAATATTATTAATTTGTTATTATGTATATTTTCTGATAGAAGCGATATTCTATTCTAATTATGGGAAGGGGGATTCGAACCCAGGTGTAGAGTGGGGAACACATCCCAGTATTTATTTTTGAGTAAGATCAACATTAATTAAGTTTGGCTTAGTTAATAATGGCTTTTATTTTCAATAATAATCTTGCAGGTAACAATCCATTATTTGGAGGTCTGAAATCAGCAGTTTCCATTTTTGGACAATCACACCAGTGTTGGGTAGACGGAGAAGGAATGCTTCACGCAGTATACTTTAAAAAAGACCAACATGGAAGTTGGATTATCTCCTACAAGAACAGATATGTTGAGACTGAAACATTTAAGCTAGAGAAACACATTCATAACAAACCATGTTTCTTACCAGTCTTACAAGGAGATGCTTCAGCAGTTTTAGCGGCACTTCTTCTAAATGGGGTACTACTCATATATATATATCTATTATAATTATTTATTTTGGCCAGAACACGGTTTAAAGGAAAATGTACCTCTTGCCATACTTCTATGTTGTATTGTGAATCTGGAGTTGGCAAGAAAGCATTAGCGATGGTTTATAACCATAATTTAATTATATCAACAGTCGTGGGTTACGCCAAGTTGGCCATGACCTTGCACTCAAGTTTGAATCCCCCTTCTCATAAATTAGATTAATTTAGGTAAATTATCGGTCGTATAAAAAAAATTATATCATATGCAGCTATACAGAACAATTATATATATAATTTTGTTTCTTGTATGATGTGGCAGCTGAGATTTGGCGCAGTGAATAAATACTTTAGCAACACCAATGTTTTTGAGCATTCAGGGAGAGTCTACTCTGTTACAGAGAATTACTTGCCTCAAGAGGTGGACATCTCAACTTTAGAGACTCTTTCTGATTGGGATGTCAATGGTACTTGGGATCGACCTTTCACTGGCCACCCAAAGGTTTTATTTTAATTTCTGTTGGTATTTATTTAATTTCTCCTATTTTTTCTTATATAATATTTTGCCTCCAATAATTATAAATTTTTGTTTTGTCATGCTTTTGGATATTTTGCAGAAAGCTCCAAGTTCCGGAGAGCTAGTCATAATGGGGACGGATGCTAAAAAACCTTACTATGTTCTGGGGGTTATCTCTGGTACTCGGTTCGATTTAAAATAACTACGTTGTGTTATTTATGCTGGAGAATTTTATAAATATCATGATAATAATAATAATAATATTATTATTATTTCAGCTGATGGAAAAAAACTGCATAAGGCTGATCTCAAATTCAAAAGAAGTGTCCTCAGCCATGATATAGGAGTCACACAGAAGTAAGTATATAAATGGTAATTCTTATCCACAATGTAATCATTTCTTTAATGGGGATGTTTTGGTGGCATCAGGTACAATGTAATCATTGATCACCCCCTTACAGTGGATATACAGAGACTAGCCATGGGTGGCCAGTAAGTATATATTATCCGCAATAATTCGAGGGCATGAGCGAATGCTTTTTTAAAATCTTAACTATTTGAACTACAAGCCCCTTATATACATATTTCTTTGAATTGTTGTCAAGTAGCTATAGCTCTTAAGCTAATGCTCGTGGTACATGTGTGGCTAGATTAATGAAGTATGAAAAGGAAGGGTTTGCGAGGATCGGAGTGATGCCCCGTTATGGTGATGCAGAGTCTGTCAAATGGTTTGAGGTACAAACCAGTTGCACATTCCACATTCTCAATTGCTTTGAGGAGGGCGATGAGGTAATAATTAAGCATCATCAGATCAACCTTTAATTCAATTATAATTACTAATTAATATTGTTATTCTAATTAATCCTTATATTTAATGTCTGATGACAAACGAGAACAGGTTGTGGTGAGGGGATGTAGGGCTCTCACATCCCTCATACCAGGTCCTGATGATGATGTTGGTTTTAACAACAAATTCGAGTGGTTCTCCAAGGGCTTCAATTTTGCACACCATACCAAAGACGTCTCTTCTGCTGATGATATTTTTGCGGAGCCTGGATATTTGTTTTCTCGTGTATATGAATGGAGACTGAACATGGTATCTGGGAAAGTTGAGGAGAAAAATTTAACAGGAACTGAATTTTCCATGGAATTCCCTTTTATAAATG